ACTGGGCAAAGGAAGCTCGCGTCCTTTTCCTCGTTGTAAACCGGCAGGGCAGACAGGAAAATAACCTGAGCCCTGAACGGTGTGTTGAGGGATTTAGGCACGTATCCGTGTCTTGGTTTCAGTATGACTTTCGAGTCATTTGGCCCAAATTCCATACACGTTGTGCTTACTGAGAGCGCTTGTAAATCCCCCATGCGCTTCACTGAAGCAAGAGCCATAAGAAACGCTGTCTTGAATGACAGATGTTTCATGTCCGACAAGTGGATTGGCTCGAACGGGGCACCTTTCATGGCTTCCAAAACCGTGGAAAGGTCCCACATGGGGACTGAGGGGGGTCTGGGAGGATTCAGCCTCTTAGCTCCTTTAAGGAAGCGGATGACCAGATCGTTCTTCCCCAGTGACTGGCCAGTCGCGGGTTTTGTAAACGCTGCTATGGCTGCCACGTAAACTTTGAGCGTGGATGGGGTTCTGCCCTTATCCAGTAGCTCTTGAAGGAAGGTGAGAACTTCCGTAACCGTGCAAGCATAGACATAATGCAAGCATAGACGCCCTATTGGCCGCTATACGTCAACGGCGCTGCCATATTGCGGAGGGCAACTTTCTCATACTTCTCATAACGAGAATTGAGAAAAATGTCTGTTTCGTGTGCTGCTTGGGGCTGTATAAATCGCCACACAATTGAAAACAGGTCTCGAGGAATTATCTTTCACAAGCAAGAATGAACATTTGTTTCTGGTTGTATTTGGTCATGATATAAGTAGTAATAGTAACGTTCAGAGAAGAAAGGCCGCGAAATTTAAAAATACTACTGCTATTGTGTCATGAAATGTAGTTTTAATAGTTTTTCAGTCGACAATGTAGTTGTTTAAACCTCAAATCTGTGGTTTATTTATAAAGATAGCGCCTATTTAAAAATTTGATCTGACGTTTTCGGAGTTGTGAGATCCAGGCTTTCACCGGGCGTTCAGCGCTCATGTACCCCGCCTGGAACAGCCTTACCTCGGCTAGAGCTTCTGACGTTTGCCGCTGGCTCTGATGTCTCTAGTCTAGTGGTTAAACATGAGATATAATTCGTCTTGTGTATATCTAACGGGCGATCTTTGGTCTCACAAAAAGAGACAGGGTTGTGTCATTTTATTTTATATAGCCTATGTAGGAATATTTTAAAATATATAAATCATTTTATATATAGATTCTCTTCACTGTATGTCGGCCTATATAAAATAAAATGACACATCTCTTTTTGTTAAATGTCAGTTTAATGATTAATATTATAATGTTTCATATTTTTTTCATATTGTCTATATTATTCTGCAATTGATATTACATTGTATTTGCTGTTCTTATTATACCACTTGCGATTATCAATCTATTACAGCTATGCTGTTAAATGATTGTACAATTCAGTCACTATTTAACTTATTATTTTTTATTGTCTATATACTGTAAATGATATTTCTTATTCCATTACTATTATTATAGTATTATACCTAAACTATATGCTATTATCAATATTTGTATTATTATATTATGTACTTGTGATATTATATAATTATACTATTCATTACTATTTGATTTGCCGTATAGCCTACTGTTTGTTTATATTATTGACTAAACTATTTACTATTACTTCTCACTTTATCTTATATTTACTACATTTGCATTGCACTGTAGTTGTACCATCATATGTATTACCATAAAGGATCCATCAGTTATCTTTGTTATTGCTAAAATCGGGTCAATCACAGAAAATGCTTTTTCCACAATAAGAAAACTTTATTTAATTGAATGTGAAAATTAAATTATATCTCAGTATTGGGGTCTTCACAATTCTTATCCAAGAATAAAAAGCCAGATACATGACAAGCCTGAGCTTTGACAATTCCTTATAAAAAAAAATAAAAAAATTATAAGTCTATCGAAATTTTAAATAACTTAGAGATGGAACTTTTTGTACACCACGTACAAACCACTGAAATCGGTTGATAAATGTAATTTTTTTTTGTTTTTATCCAGAAAAACCGCAGCTCACCGTTAAGGCCTACTTGCATTTGATTACAGCACAGTCTTGCCCTCCGCAAAATGGCGGACGCGTTGACGTATCGCAGCAACGTTCCAAAGCGGCCAATACGCTGATTTCACCATAGACAGTAAAAGAAATGAACAGAGCGACCCCATAGACTTCAACGGAGAAAAGTGAAATCAATTAGAAGCACTCACTTCCTGATTGCCAAGCGCACTGCGCAGGCTCAAACTGAGCTTGACGACGTAGATGTGACGTGAGCAACCTGTCTCACAGTTGTACTTCTTCTAGTATCTGTGCCAAGGGGAATCTGAATCATTCGCTTCCGAATCTTGCAGAGCCGGAGATCGTGAGTACTAGCTGTCCATGAGCTAGCAGCAGGAGCAACTTTATGACTCTCTATGGGCTTCTCCCTTGACTTTATGCCTCCACGTCCCCCCGATTGCGCGCAAGCTTCTACTTCTGTCTATACGGTAACTTCTCTACTGTGCGACAGAGAGTCGCGTGTTATGACGCAATTGTTAGCCTATTTTTACAAAAACTGCTTCTACGGGGCCATAACGTAAGATACAAGGTAATGGAGCCTTTTATACATTGTCGTGTTTCTTTAGAAATAAACAATGGACAAATGGAGTCTTTAAACGCCTCAGATGTAAAGTTATTCGCTGTCAAAGTGACGCCAAAATGAATGGGAGTCAATGGAATGCTAACAGCAGGTGAAGGCTTCCTAGCCAATGGCGGCCCCCGGGGAGACTTTAGTTTCCGGCTGGTGGATTACCCCCTTGGATTTCACGCAGCCGCCATTTTGAAATGGCTCCGGTGGGAAGAAAACCGGAAGTGTCGCCTTTAATCATAGGAGAGTCGCGAATGCGATGGCGTATTGTTGTGTTTAATGTAGAAATTAGTTATTCTAAAAATGTACATACATTTCTTTCATACTTTAGACTATATACAGTGAAATTCATTTATAAATAAAATATATTTTTAAATATATATATGATTCAGAACGTAAAAAAAGAAGCAGGAACGAACTATATACATATCCTATATTGGATATTAACATCCAATAGTGTAAATCGCAGCAGCAGCTTCAGGTTGGTAGTCCAAGGCATTGTTGTCTATCTGTACTTCCGGGGTTCTTCCCACCGGAGCCTCGCTTTCGATTTAAAAATGGCGGCTGCGTGAAATCAGCGTATATGGCGTCTATGTATTTATTATTATGTCTAGGCGTGCAAGCACCTGCCATTTTGGCCTCTGACTAGATAAGTACGGTGGCCGAGAGAGCTCAACGCACTGCAACTGAAGCAACGCATGCAAATAGAAAAAAACGCGTGCAAATAGAAAAAAACCCACATGCAAATAGAAAAAAACATGTGCAAAAAAAAACCACACACATGCAAATAGAAAAAAACACCTGCAAATTAAAAAAACCCATCATAATCAGTTTCACAACACGTGTGCTCCAAATACAGAAACGCGCTGCAAATAACACAGACCACAACGGAAATGTTTCTAGGGGAACCAAATAAGTGACGAACACGGCTGGGACGTGCTTATTGCTCGTGAGCTTCCCTATGCCCTACTCTCGAAGGGCATACGGCAGAGCCCTTAAAGTGGGACTTTGGAATGAGCAGGACACCAGTGTGCCATTATGTAGCCGTGTGGAACGCACTTGATGAAGGAGCAACGAAAGACAACGTAATTCCTCGTTATTTTCACCTGGGATGTTCCCATGACAACGCAGCACGGTGTCCATCAGCTGAATAGCTGTTCTTACGACAGAAATATAATGCTGTTAACATAACAGTTGCAAATAAATTTTTATTTTTACTTTACAAAAAAGCTTTTAAAATATGCGTGTATATATCTGTGTGTCTCAACTTTAAAACTTTGGACCCTACATTACCTAACATTTCTTATGAAACTTTTCTTTATGAAAATTTAAACATAACATGAAACAATTTGTACAGTGTAACTGATGAAAGATACATATCTTTTCCTTCATGTTCTTCTTCTCTATCTTTTTTATTTATTTATTTTAGTTTTCAGCTCAATTGTTCTTTTCTCATTTGTATTCTGATGACATTTAACATATTGTTAATACATTTGTTAATACATTTTGTATATTGTATACAAGTTGTATGTCATAAAAATGTAATCTCTGTATGTTTTGCTAAATAAATAAATAAATACATAAAGTAGAATTTTAGCACCAGCACGTCCCAGCCGGGCTCGTCACTTATTTGGTTCCCCTGGAAACATTTCCGTTGTGGTCTGTGTTATTTGCATAGACAGTAAGATAATTATTATTTGCAGCACGTTTCTGTATTTGTGTTGTGAGCTTTTGCAGCGTGTTTCTGTATTTTGGTGGTGTTGTGAGTATTTGGAGCTCACGTGTGTTGTAAAACTGATGAAAATGTTTTCTTAATTTGCGGGTGTTTTTTCTATTTGCATGCGTTTTTTTTAATTTGCATGCGTTTTCTTCATTTGCAGCGCGTTGAGCTTTCTCGGCCACCGTAGTAAGTGCCTTTAAAAAAAAAAAAAAAAAAAAATTAGTCAACTATTTAATGTTGAAGTATAATGACAACCAAAAACATTGCGAACTGAAGGTGTTAGACTACTTCTTTTTTTTTTTTACAGGCTGTACAGGTATAACAAGAAAACAATGACACACAGGGCAGGAGAGAAAATAAGACACTTATTCTATTTCTATGGTGAATGAGGAGCATATTAAAAACACTCTCAAAGGTCTTCCTTCTGAGTGTGCCAATGAAGGCAAGGGTTTTAACACACCTTGCAATAGCAATGTTGACCCATTTATGAATGTATTCATTTTCACTCAGTTTGGCTGGTTTTATGTGACTGTATGTGTAGGCTAAGTGTTCCCCATATTGATCACAGGAATATGAATAGGCGTTCTCACAAAAGTGTAAAATAAAAGCAAAGACATTTAGCCTACTACTTAAGTGTTTATAATCCCTAACCACGCGGCAGTGACGAAATTCTCAATGAATAATGTCGAGCTCTGCACCAGCTCATCAAGTCTCTCAGTCCGCGGGAGCAGGTGACAGAAACTGCTGGACCAACCGAGCGATACTCTATCGTTCGTCCCCACGAAAGCGATAAACGCTCATCTTCCTTTGGAAATAGTGCGATTTGGGAAAAGTCTGTCCGGTCGGTAATGTCTTTGGAGGACCGCTGTGAGGCTTCAGCATGAAATCCTTCAAATATCCTTCAAACACTCTTTTGGAATTAACCGTCATTTTCCTTTTCATTCAAAACTCCAGGGTGGAAACCGAAGGTAATATCTTTGTTGGCACTTCATAAGCGGTTTCGTTTGGATGTGATTTGTAAAGCACATGGTGGTCTTTCTCACAACAGTCTTCTTTAATTCCTGCAAACTTTTACTCTTTCGTCCATGTGATCTGCTAACCTCTTATAGCCTATGCGAGTCATTATTTTAATGTAGCCAGTTCTGACGATTTATACGAAGTGGCTGTATGTTTGATTACTGAATGGAGTATAAAGAATGCGATATGAAATAATCTAGCCTACACATAATCAGCAATGTATTATGCTATCGCCAATGTTTAAGACATAGTTCACTGAAAAGAAGAGAACACTACCCAGCAAGCAATTTTGCGTCTAAAAGACGTCTAATAGCCGTCAAAACACAGCCCAAAATCTAATAGACGTCTATAGCCCAATAATAAGACGTCTAACCATAGCCCAAGAATAGACTAGTCGTCATCAATTAGACTGTTATTGAACGACTACATACATACATAGACAGTGTGCATATGGAACTCCAGGCTAAAACAAGGCTGAATTTGGGCTGTCAGTGAAAATCTAATAGACGTCTAACCATAGCCCAAGAATAGACTAGTCATCAATTAGACGGCTATTAAACAACTACATGTACATGTAATAGACAACAAAATGATGGCTAAAGGATTCTTTTCACTCAAATATAACAGGTACTCATAAATGACAATCCATCCAAACAAATTAAATATAAAAGGTTTTATTTAGAAAAAGAACATTAACAACTTACGAAAAGATCAAAACATAAAAATGACCAAATCAAATATTAAAAATACAATATAAAAAATACATGGAACATCAACAACTTAAGATAATAAAATATAAAACTCTGTTGCTGCTGGGAAGTTGGTCATCACGGCATCTGCCAAATAAGAAAAAAATAATTTGCACAAGAAAAGCATTGTTGACAGTTTAACCTCAAGTGTGCATTGACTAATACATTCACCTGTACTGTTTTTTTGTGTGTGTTTTTTGTGTATGTGTTCTGTTTAGGTTTTAATGCACATCTGAGCTATTTGCATTATTGATATACTGCCGGATACTTTTTAGAATTGCTAATTTTATATAGCCAATCATTTGTATTTCTGTGCTGTATTATAAAATTAATTTGAAAGTTTCAAACTTGAATGAATGAAGAATGAAACTTCATCTTATGCTTGTACAATGACAAATATTATTCTACTCTATTAGCTTATGCTCTATCTGTTTGTAACAAGTCATTGTTCAGACAAATTCAATATTATAGTTCAAATCAATGATGGACTTTGTCAAAGATGAGAGCTTTAGTGAGGAAATAATATTTTCATATCATAATGATCTAAAGCTTTCATAACACTTTATAATAGGTTGCACATGTTTCATGTTTACACCTTTAGATTCAGATAATTCGAGTTTAAGGGCACATGGAAACATGGGGTTACAGTAGGCCTACACGTGCATGTACCATGATACACTGTTACCTCCTATGTCACGATTCCAACAACACATGCCCTCCATCTGAATTTGGCGCGTCATCATAATCACGTGACTGAAACCCAGCTATAGCCAAGCCATTGCCTCGATTTCTGACGATTTATACGAAGTGGCTGTATGTTTGATTACTGAATGGAGTATAAAGAATGCGATATGAAATAATCTAGCCTACACATAATTAGGGATGCAACGATACCGCTTTTTCAAAACCGATCCGATCCGATCCCAAAATTCTGAGTATCGGCCGATACCGATACCAATCCGATAGTGCAGTTTTTTTTTTAAATCAAGTAGAATTTCTATAACTCTGTGTGTTCAACTGATAATCACTCTTTTGTGTGTTAAACACAATCTACTTAACACAGACAACTTAATTTTAAAGAAAAACAACAAATCCAAAAAATATATGATCATAATCTGTGACAAAAATGCTATAATAAACTAGATTAGTGGATAATTCAGCAGTGCAATTTAGTCTAGAAAAATCATGAGTGCACAATAATTGTATAAAATCTGAACATTTAGTGAAGAAAATTTAGGGGAACAAATAAGAGACAATAAGTGTAACACTAAATCTGGTCAAACATTACACATTGCTCTTTGTATTGTTGTAAAATACATTCATGAAAAACAAGATAACAAAAATCAAAAAGATAAATTATTATATATAGGGCCTAGCCTATGGCTAGGCTACTATAAAATTGAGACATGTTTTAAATGTATAGCACAGCTGTTTAATGAGGCAGCAACATATGATAGATAGGACAGAACAAGAAAGGCTATTAATAATCTTTCATTGCGCAAAAGTAGTATTATATGATTATGAAAGGATCCAATACAGTGCGGCACACAGCGCTTATGCGCATCCCGAGCGCAGAATGATGCGCTTGAAGCAACACGGAGTCACAGCGCGCAGCGCGTCGAATCCGCATTGAACAGTTCAAAGCACAAAGGAAAGACATATCGATGCGTAGTGTATTATACACAGTATCTATGCAATCGTTTATTGAGCCTTTTCTTTTAACAGTTTTAAATTTCAGTTACTGTGCGCGTGAAGAACAATTATAGTGCTCTCTGACTCTAGGCTACTCTGTTGCGATCTAACAGACGCCCGGTAGAAAGTAACATGATTTAGTTACAGCAATAAAGTCCAGCAATATAAAGTTGTTTTATGCTAAACCATAGACCTTTATCTACAGATCAAGAATAATAATAGTAACATTGAATCATCTTGATCTTGGAGAGTTTCATCGTGTTGCCTGTCGTAACAGAACGCGACGCGCTGTTAAATGCTGAATGGAGAATGACTGACAGCCGCAGCGGAGGGAAAAAGTTTACGAGGTCTTGAATTTAATGACTTAAATATTAATTTTTATCTCACATTATACTATATAATCAGGGATGTAGTGGAGGCTAAACGCACGTAAACGCCGTTTACGCACCTCCCAATATTCGGAAATAGCGTTTACCCACCTCCAAAGTGCGTTTATCCACCTCTAAATTGCGTTTATCCTCCTCTAAATAGCTATAAATTAAGCTTATGTCGTTTTAGTTTTATATTGTTCATTACTAGTTTCATAGGTTGTTAAACCTAAGACGAACTCTTTCATATTGCGCTGCATTACTGTCAGTGTTGTTGACTTTTACTGACGGTAAGGTTGCGCTGTTGACGCTCGCGCAGCCTCTCGAGGAGAAATCTACACAAATGAGCGCACACACACACTCAGTTAACAACATACTGCCTATAAAAAATCTAAATGGAGTTTTTATATTTTTTACATATGTTAAGCAACCTCAATTATTTTTCCTGAACACCATCACGATTGAAAATGTGACATTGATTTCCTACAACAGTTCAATAAACAGTTAAAATTAAGTCACTTACATTTTAGATGCAATATTGGCTGTTTTTGTTCTGTTTCAGCAGCGAAAATAGTTCCAAACAAAAATCACAGCAGAACCACGGCGCATATCTCACAGGAACACTCGACCTGTTTTCATTAGGCTACTGAATGATTCAGCATTTTGAAGGAATCGATTGAGTCAAAGATTCAATGACCCATTCGTAAACATCTGTCTCATTCTTGAATGAATCAACCGTTTGAACAAATCGTTTGAATGAATGAATCAATGACTCACTCATTAAGACGGTCGCCTACCGCCACCTACTGGCGGTTTCGTGTTATGTTTAAAAGTAGATCATTCTGTCCAACGTTTCTTATTTGTAAATTTAAATCAATTTCATAACATTATTTTATGCAATTGGAATTTTTCAGTGTAAATGATTTAATTTGATCAGCCCTATAGTGTCTTATTAATCGAAATAATTGAATTTATTGATCAAATTTAGGAATTTAAAATGAAAGATGAAGCATAAATTTAATAAGATTGGGGGAGGGGATGCCCTTTAAAGGTGCAGATATTATAATATGCCGATTTAAATATCAAAGGTGATTGAACACTGATGAGAATATATTGTTTCAGAATAAAAAAAATAATAATAAAAAATCCGGACGAGAAACTTTTTTACTCGGACAAGTGAATGACAGATTAAGCGTATGAAAAGGCTTAATGTCAAACCCTCCCTATATAGCAATGTCATCAGGAGATACACATACACCGGTAGGCAGTGGCCCACCTTACCGGGTGACCACGTCGTGGTCCACCAGAATTTATAGTTTACCCACCTCTTTTTTTACCACTACACCTCTGTATATAATGGCTTCAGAACACTTATAAGATAGTGCACGAAAACTTTATGGTACTTGATAATGTTTTTGTGCCTTTTGTGGGGCTTAACAATAACACAGAAAAATACGCACAATATCGGATTTGGATCGGCCTCCTCTGACCGATACCCGATCCGGCAAAAACGGCAGTATCGGAGCCGATACCGATACTGAGTATCGGATCGATGCATCCCTACACATAATCAGCAATGTATTATGCTATCGCCAATGTTTAAGACATAGTTCACTGAAAAGAAGAGAACACTACCCAGCAAGCAATTTTGCGTCTAAAAGACGTCTAATAGCCGTCAAAACACAGCCCAAAATCTAATAGACGTCTATAGCCCAATAATAAGACGTCTAACCATAGCCCAAGAATAGACTAGTCGTCATCAATTAGACGGTTATTGAACGACTACATACATACAAAGACAGTGTGCATTTGGGACTCCAGGCTAAAACAAGGCTGAATTTGGGCTGTCAGTGAAAATCTAATAGACGTCTAACCATAGCCCAAGAATAGACTAGTCATCAATTAGACGGCTATTAAACAACTACATGTACATGTAATAGACAACAAAATGATGGCTAAAGGATTCTTTTCACTCAAATATAACAGGTACTCATAAATGACAATCCATCCAAACAAATTAAATATAAAAGGTTTTATTTAGAAAAAGAACATTAACAACTTACAAACTTACATGTATCCAAACTTACATGTATCCAAATTCAAGGTTATTTTGGCTAGTGGGTTACGGACTATATCGGGTAA